GCGATTGTCAGACTTGAACATGATTAGTCTTCGCCGTCGACGTGTCAACGCGTCACTGACTTTCTTCTACGACATCATCAACGGTAATGCTAACTGTCCAACAGTTAGTGACCAAGTCTCACTTAATGATGGGCGTTCATTGAGACACAGCGAACAATTCAAGGTGAATGACAAGCACATGAAGCTGGTGCGAGAAGCTCCAATTCCTCAAATGTGCAAAATGGCGAACATGGTGCCGGAACTGTTCACAGCTGCGACCTCAAAGAAGAATTTTGCATCATCGGTTCGCAGAATGGCGGACACCACTTTTGGATCGCTTTGCAAACTTAAATGACTACCTGGCCGCCTAGTCAACTTCTCATCCAGGTAACCTCATTTTTTGTATATGTTCTCCACGAGAACACCTTGATACTGCCCACATTTATGATGAAATTTCGATTTTCATGTTGCCGTTAAACCTGATCCTGATCTCAAGCGGACAAACTCATCAATGACAACGCATATTGCCCGAATGCCATTTGGGTTACTGCTGATAGAAACAAACAAGAGTAGGGCTGCCCCAGGTACCAACCACCTACGTGGTATTCGACTCATCGCACACGAATCACACAGCAAAATCGATACTAAAAGACTGACGAATTGTTCCCCATACATCTCTTATGTGTATAGAAATGATGATACTTATCTGTGATGTTTACACTTATTATTTATTGTAAATTTTGATTTTGTGCTTTGTTGTAGCCATCCATGAGTTGGCAACTTAATATTCTTATGTCTGAAATCAATTTTGAATTATTCATAATTAGCATCAAATGCTCTAGTTACGCTTCAAATCATAGTCCATGTCAACTCAATGCACTCTGCAATCAACATGGATCTGCCTTTAAGACGTAAAACTTCTCGTCAATTTATCCACCGGTATAAATTGAGCGACGACTTTTGCTGTCCTAGGGTCTCAAATTAAACGCGTAATTAAACGCTTCACATAGCCTTTGTTCCTTTGGAAACGTTTACCAAAGGTTATCTCGGACCGTTTGCCATAGACTAATATCAAGCATTTCCATCTTGGTTGTATGACTGTTTTTTCGTTTTCATGTTCCTAATATTGTGAATACCGCATGATGTATGAAAAGAGCCAGGTTTTTAACGAGGCGAGAACTGATAGTTATGAAAAATTATCGCTACTAAATGTTTATTATTTTAAATATGTAACAGTCTTGCACTCTTTTCCGGCCAAACCTTAATCAAAAACCCACATTATATTCAGCCAGAGCTTGGCGGTGTTTATTAAAAATAAAAAAAATAAATAAAAATAATATGTTATGCGTTATAACGGGTGTTATCTTAATAAATCCTAAGATTCGGCGGTAATAACATTTTATTAACTATAATAATAACATATTATTAAGATGGATTTATTTACTCAATTAATAACATATTATTAGGTTTGGATTTTATTAATTCAATTAATAACATATTATTAAGATGCAATCTTAATAACGCTTTTTTCGCGCATTCTTTTCCCTAGCTGGAGAGAAAAAAAGCACTGTACGGAATGAACTTTTATTTTAGTATTTAATGACAACTTTGTTCTTTCAATGTTTACTATGTTTAAATCATTCCAACAATATCATTGGAATCCAGTCTGGAGGGACAATTGCGGGAATATTCGTTAAATGGTGAGCTACGGAATAGCTCGTTAATTCTGTCTGTCTCACACATGAAATCCATCATTCATTTAGGCAACTTACCTGGCGTTCAATCACTTATCAAACAGGGTGTAAATGTGAATGCTGCAGATGACAACAGATTGTCAGCACTCCATTTCGCACCGTTGAAGGGTAAGTCGCTAATACGTAAATTTGGCGATATTTTCAAGTTTATGTGCATTTTTGGTTTAATTATTATCATAATTATTCGTTTTAAGATACTGCTTTTCGTTTTGCTCGCCTTTCAAATCGTATATGAATGTTCCAACAAAAACTCATATACAGTGTATTACTTTTCCGTACACACCGTGTCAAGGGAATATATTTTTTTAAAATTGGTCAAATAACACCAATTTTTAAATCCGGCAAAAAGAACGACGTTGAGAACTATAGAGGTGTTAGTGTATTACCAGGACTGGCCAAGGTCTTCGAGCGTACAGTATACAACCAATTGAAGCTTATCATCCCACCGAAAATATCCACGTCGCAGCATGGGTTCGTCTCTAATAGGAACATTGAAACGAACTTGATGGAGATGACTACGTTGGCACATCAAGCCTTTGAAGGTGGAGCACAGTTGGACGTCTTCTATGCTGATATCAAGAAAGCATTCGATACAGTCAACACGGTGAAACTGATAAAGAAATTTGCAAAATTCAAAGTATCAAATGCAGTCATACTGTGGCTATTTTCCTACTTAAATTCACGTCGACAGTGTGTCAAGATTGGTTCAAACAAATTCAATCTGTTTGATGTTGCCTCGGGAGTAGGACAGGGAACCATCTTGGGCCCATTATTATTCATTGTCTTCTTCAATGACTCGGACTTTGATATACCCGGTGTCCACTTCTCAAATTTTGCTGACGATAAAAAGATTGCGGTGATCGTAAAGACATTGGCAGATACACGGAGACTTCAAGATGCAATCGACCGTTTCTTCACGTGGTGCGAAGAAAACGACTTGTCCATACACAGCTCCAAATGCAAAATGATTACTTTTCATACGATAAGAAATCCGATTACAAATGAATATACTATCGGCGGACAAACAGTGGAGCGTGTAAACGAGATCCGAGATCTTGGCGTAATCATGGACAAAAAGATGAATTTTGGGTCACATTTGGAATACATTTGCAAAAAATCCAATGCTGCCCTTCAATTTGTGAAAAGACAATCCTTCTTCTTCGAGAAAGACATCATCAAGATCTTGTATTCGGCGCTAGTGCGATCAAATCTAGAGTTTGCTAGCACAATTTGGTCTCCTCATCACACTACACACATGAAACTCGTCGAACGAACTCAAAAGCAAATAGTCATGTTACTGAATGGAGATTATCGTCGTTGGATGGAGGGAAATTATGTTCTTCGTCCATACACTGAGAGATGTGAAAACCTGAATTTTGACACATTAGTGCGCCGCAGATTAAACGCAGCCATACTGTTCATGCACTCCATCATAATTGGTAGATACAATGCACCTAAACTTCTCTCACAATTGAATTTAAACAATGGCATCAGAACACTTCGAAATCCAGAATTCATTAAAATCAAATTCTATCGAACTGACCACTCAACGCGATCTCCCTTCAACAATGCGTGTCCAATGTTCAACTATGCAGTATTGTTCATCGACCCAACGTTACCACATTACAAATTCCGACAAAAATTGCTGAAACTTCCGGATGCAGCCTTTGGGTCATGGACACAATTGTGAATTTTTGTTAAGCACTTTCTTTTTATCGGGATCCCAAAAATGAAAGTGCAATCCCAGGTTGTCATTTCTTAAATAATTTATTTCAAAAAGCTGATGAAATGTTCGATTCACAGTATTCCCGCCGATGAAAAACCAAGCACCAAATGGCCAACCAGTTCGGACTGAACTACCATCAAGCGAGGCGAAGAGAAGCGAATAACCAAGGACGATAGTACGATTGCTGTCAAATCGCAGACGTATCGGATATAGATATTAAGAGACAATGGCAATATTTTCTTGTTTTTCTTGGGGTTGAAATCTGATAGTCATTTGCATTTCTTTAGATTAATTAATTTATTTATTTATATTCAAAGAATTTGATACTTTTTCATTTTATATCGAATTTCAACACATTCTGGAATGTGCATTCATGTACCTAACTCTACCAAACTAATTCATCCACACCTATTTATTGACACCTATTATCAACCTAAATGCCTCACTATTTATCGACAAAACTATTACCTAATTAATTCTGTACCTATCTACCTAATACAGCCAGTCTTTGGCGGTGAATAAAATTGATTGATTATAGGAATTGGTCCCGAAAACCTTTTTCGCAAAATTGGTTTAGATCATCATAAAAACTCATGAAACGCGTAGAAAACCACTTTTTGAGACACTCTTCCGTTCGTGTTCCGTCGTCGTTGTCGTTGTCATCGTCGTTGGTGTTTGTTAACACGATAACTCAAAAAATAATTGAGATAATCAAAATCTAGAGCCAAATGCCAAATGCCAAAAGTTTTGTATTCAAAAAACTTAGTTTAAGTTCGAAGATGAGCCATTTTCGATTTGATCTTGGGGTACTTGCCCTAAGAAAAACCTCGGAATCGACCCTAGAAATTGACACTTTTGTATGGGAGGTACCTGTGAATCGACTCCGATTGGATTCAAACTTCAATTTCTGGGATTTCATTTTTGGGGGAAAAATAAGATTCTGAAAGTTTGAAACCAATCGGAATCGATTTACGAGTACCTCCCATACAATTTTTTTTGGAATTTTGACTAAAATTACCGATTTTTGGACAATTTTATATGGGAGGTACCCGTTAATAGATTCTGATTGGCTTCAAACTTTCTGAGCTTTCATTTTTTGGGGAAAAAAAAAGATTTTGAAAGTTTCATGTTGATCGCATCTGCAGAAATTTGATTTTTTGTCCTCGATTTTTCTCGAAATTTTCTTGGAAAAAATCCGGAATCTCATACTAAATTGTCGAAATTTTAGTTATAGTGACCGATTTTTCACTTTATTTTCATTATTATATTTTCACTGCCTTTATTTCAAGAAAATTCACAAGAAAAACCAAAAGTACCTATGGACAACGCAGGCCAACGGTACGGAAAAGTTCGGGATTACCAATGTAATTCTTTTTATTTTTAGATACAAATTAAACTAGATAAGACACAGATGAATTTAAGTTTTCAAGAAGCGCAACATGAAATTTGTTCCTTAAAAACGTTACATTATTTGATATCAGCAGCTGACGTCAGTTAGTGCCGCTGACATCAGCTCAAAACACACTCTAAACAAAATCGGTTGATTTTTCTGAACAATTGCGTTTTCCGAGAGTCTATTGTAATTATCAAATTCACCATATGTTCATATGGATTGAATTTGTTCACATTTTGATGCGTTACATGTTAAACTGTTGAAAGTTACTTCTCTTCGTCCTCTCTGCTCGGCATGTAAAGGGAAATTGAGAACAAAAAGAAGAAAAAACGCAACAATTTCCGCTAAATCTAAAACCACTTTTCTTTTATTGCATAAATTCATTGAGTTTTTCACGTTTGTTTTCCAGAATGGAGCATGCACATTACGAAATCCGTTCATTTTCATTTAGTTTCAGTTGAATTTCATCGTTCTTTTCAATTATGTAAAATGAACCAAAGTAAAAGGGAATCATCATCATGAAAATGCTGCCCAAAATGAGTTTCATATTCAGTTATTCTATGCGGATGTAATAAAAATTAGAGAGAAATTTTTTTTTTATTTGAATATAATCGGTCATGGCTTATTGAACTAATTATTAAAATGGGCCGAAATTCTGATCAAGATTCCAACCAGTAATTGCAGATAATTGACCATCGACGGGCGCTGTATGTTCAGGCGGATGAGTGGTTACATGGTCCGTGATCAGAGGTGTATCGACTGATGCATCATCAGACGTTGTTCCTGATATTTGGTGACTGTGCCGAAAATAACAAGAAAACATTCAGTCGATTTGAACAATAAACGAATGTAATGAATATGTAATGAAACAGAATAGTCGACTATCGACAATTGTGGCCAATAAAATGGTATTATTTCGAATAACATACCCGGAATAAAACACGTTTGATTGATCAGTTGCCGAAATTAAAATAGAAAAGAAGTGTTGATGAATGAATGAATGATTGAAAATAACAGCTGACCAGCTGGTTGGTCATTTCTGAAGTTGAACGCTCTCTATTCTCATCTGAATGTTCGTTCGGGAGATAGACCGAATGGGAATGTGTGTGTGCTGATACATTTGACACGAATTTCGGTTGAGGTGCCTGATATGCATTGGTCTGATATGGATTTTGATGTGTTTGCGATGGTTGTTGGGGCATCATATTCATGTTCTGTTGGTTTTTTACTTTAACTGTTGCCATTGATCGTTGGCTTGACCTCCTAATGCTTGCTGATTTGCAAACAATGCGGTATCGCCTAGATATATCCATTGGATATTTCTGCTAGACGGCATATTTTGTTGCGTTTGAACAAACGCTTCGTTACACAGTGACGGTCTCGCGCGTGACAAACACAGAACAGAGCGCATTTGAATACGCTACCATTTGTGTGCCCGCTGTTCGTATGTGTTCAAAGACTTGATCGCTCATGTATTTGTATTTGCAACGCCTCCTCAAATGCGCTCTGTTCTATGTATGTCGCGCGCGACACCGTCGCTGTGTAACGAAGCGTTTGTTCAAACGCAACAAAATATGCCGTCTAGCAGAAATATCTAATGGATATATCTAGGCGATACCGCATTGTTTGCTGATTTGAAATAGCTGCTTCGGGTGTTGCTACAAATCAAGCAAGAAAAATCACCAAATTTAATGTCAATTCCAGAACTAACCATACCGCCAAAAAAACTCACCGAATAAACTGGATGAGCTCGTTGTTGGCAAACTACTTCCGGAATTTTGTTGGTCAGACAATTGATTACCGGACACCGAGTTATGTAGATCGCTGGTAGTCACGTGATTTTCCTTCGAAGCACCAGCAGTAGTTTCATTCGAAGATGGCAAATCATCCCTGAAGTCAAAAACATAGTAACACCACACAGATATATTGTAGATAAATTACAATTTAGCAACCAAAATTTCACTTACTTTATTTGATTTAATCTCGCTATGTAGCCGATGCATTTTAATTCATCGGATTCAAGTTTCGGCAACACCGATACCACTGCTTCACTGTAGAAAAAAAAACGAACTGAAACCATCGTTCATTTATTTATTGCAATTTACTCACCATGAGTGTCTATGGAATTGAGATGCTAAGTCACCGGCAGAATCGAAGAGATGATCGAGCAATACATCGAGCGAACATTTTCCATAATTCACCTTGTGTTTTTCATCCTCTTCAACTTGTCGTGCCGGCGCTGTCTTTGGTAGTTTACTTCTTTCTTTATTTCCAATCTTTTTTTTTCATAATCTCCTTTTGGCTGTTTACCAATGTCCTAATAAAAACAAGAACAAGATTAGATTAAGCTTCCTAGGTCTGTTTACCATAAAATACTTCGCATTTTCGAGCGTCTTGATCGCCAAATCTAGAATTTTGATCACTTTTTGGATGACTACACTTTGTGGTGGATTTAACCAAAATGAACGGCAACGTTTGCACAATTCAATTAAGACTTTCTCAAATGTATATTGACTAACGGCCGTAGGAGATGATAGCTTTTTTCTCCTCTTAGATAAATTTCCCGCATCACTATCACTAGTCTCCGTTTTGCGGTTTCTGGAACGATTTGGTGTGTTGTTTATTATGTTCTCATTATCACTTGCCATTTTTAAAACAAGGCAAAAAAATTCCAGATTAATACTCAGACAAATTTGTTAGCGTTGGTGCGTTGTGAACACAACATAAATATGGTATATTCGGAAATCGGCGAATTCCGAAAGAAATCTGAATATTTTTTTCTAATATTTTACAGTTCATGCAATCAAATTACTCCTGGTTTTCCATAATTGACAAAATAAAATCATTGTTCGTTCAGTGGATGGTTAAATGTCTATCGAATGAATATGAGACGCCGTCGCAATGCATGACATTAGTCAATGCACGGTTCAATCTGTCAACGAATTCTAAATTGAAACATTTCAAATTAACTGAATGTGAAAGAAACAATATTCGTCAATCAACCCTTTTTTCGGTATCTTTCATTCAACATCTCAAGCTGAATGCAATCAATTTATTCATATAAAACGGATTGATTCAAATGCAAAGAAAACCTGAGCATTTCCAATATGCAAACAACGATTTAAATGGCATTTTTAAATTAGCTACAGAGTTTAATTGTTGAAATTGATTGTGCATGATCAATATTCAGTTCACGATAGAAAATAAATAAATAGTTCAGTGGTTTGATTCAAGTTTAAACGTGGTGCTCGCAATTAATTTAGCAAACAGCTGTGGACACAATACATGAGGTCATCTCTAAGCCTCAAATAGAATGTGGCCCAAACTATTGGAATTAACGCGTCCAGGTGCGCTTAGGCGTTTGGGTAAGTAAAATGTCGAAAACGAGTCGACACATTGGGTATATGGATAACATTGGAATTGAAATTGTTGCTGTGTTTCATTGCAGAATTGGAGTCGTATTCGAATGTGGTGGGTGCATTTCGAGCGCAGGGAACATTGAATGCCGTAAAATTGAGAATTTTAAAAGATCTGCGGGAAGCATTTCATACAACTGATGCCCGGCACAAGGCAAAAGTTAGACGAGTTGTGAACGATGAATCTCTATCGACGATAGCAAAAATGTACATTAATTGATGTTGCGGTAGTTGTCACAAGTTGATTCATCTTATATTGTGGTAGCGTTGGGCATTCGCAGCTCATCAACTCATCACAACAACAATTATTCAAGCTTCAGCTTGCAACTCATCCATTGAATTGCGAAAATGGTTTAGTAAAATCCAGATTGTATGTATCTCTTTTCAGGATTTCTGGACCAAATAGTGGAATTGAATGAAACAAAGAAGGCAGTCGAGGTTTCTTGATAATAAATCGTAAACCATCACAAACGGCTTTGCTTCGGTCGCTGATAAAGCCAATGAATTGGGCGAAACAACCGTCCGACACTTCGAGAGATAGTGTGTTTCAGGTGGACAACGATGCAAATGTTGCGGATAAAATCGTCGATACTGATCCAAGCAGCGTAAATATCCTCTATTTCTTGACAATTCAGAAAGTCTGAGTGATTTTATTGTTGGAAAAAGCGAAAAAAAATTCCATGAAATTTGAAACGTCATCTATTTTCGCATATTTTCAGAACCATCCGAAAGCAAAGAGTAAACCGGAGAAAGCGAGTGTAGCTGCGGTGCCGGCCAAAGCCGATGCAAATCGTGTGGAATTGAGTTCTTCAGCGACAAGAAAGCAACGTGAATCAAATAAACATTGCGCTCCAACGGAGCAGCCGGCCTTAAAAATCCCCCCAACACAAACGCCGAAAGTGGAAAACGTACAAATGCCAATGCCAAAGCCAAGCACGGCAAATATTCGTCGACGCAAAAGTACAACATCCTTGGCAAATCACAATGCACCAGCACCCAAAGCGATGCTGCTAACAAGCCGACGAGATACAATGATTGAAACGAGCCGGGAACGAATTAGAGAGACACCACATTCAATAGAACAACTACAACCACCACTGGCACCAGAGCCATTCCTAGCGGGGGTTCAAGGGGTTCAAAGAACCAGGGCGTAGGAGCACCGAAGGCGCTCGGGAGGCGCTTGATATTTTTAAATTGTCGAATTTACTGGAAATAAGCGCGAGAGCGCTTTTCCCTTAAACTGAAAATTTTCGATGTTTTTAAATGAGGCGTAAAATTGCCGAAAGCGCTCGAACGCTCTTTTTTATACATATTTCTTCTCAGTTCAGAATTCAAGGGCGCCAAAGGGAATTAATAAAGCAATTCTTTATTTTGAAATGATAAATTTTCTTTTTTAAAATAAAAAATTGCTTCCATTCGGCGCCCTTGAATTTCAAACTGAGAAGAAATATTTATGAAAAAGCACTCTCGCCTCCGATTTAAGAACATTGAAAATTTTCAATTTAAAGGAATAGTGCTTGAGCGCTGAAAATGGCTGCGAAAAGGCTCTCAATGAAACAAAGTATAAAATAATAATTAAAATATAATTTTGAATACACGATTGACAATGAAAAAATTGACCGTGTCGAAGTGATGAAGGATCTGGGAGTCATTTTGGATGTAAACATGAATTTCAACGCACACATTGAATTCATTACCGCCAAAGCAAAGTCAAGATTAGCATGGATCAAAAATTTTGGGAGAGAGTTCGAGGACCCGTGGACAATTAAGAAATTATTTTTCTCATTTGTATTACCGATTATCGAATATGGCTCACAGATTTGGAGCCCATACACCGCTGAAAAGATTGCTCGTGTTGAATCCGTCCAAAAGCAATTTTTACTATTTGCACTACGTAAAATGAAATCTATGTCAGTCAATGTGTTTATAAATGGTTTTTTTAGCTAG